GTTTAATTTTGATAGAACGAGAGATTCACACAGTCTAATTCTTAAGTCCAGCTGAATATATTCGCGGATTCTGTATAAAACCTTTAACCTATAAAAGCAGTTGCGGACAAGCTCAAGTAAGTGTTTTTCAAAACGCAGTCTGCCATCCATAACTAAGCCGAGGTTACGAGCTTCACTTACACGCTCCAGAGGGACATTTAACAACATGATTTTAGGGTTTTGATTCTCTAAAAAAATTATTTGGTTTTTCGATCCTAAAAGCATATACTTAGTCTTTAGTGGGTTTAAAACGAGGGAATTTTTTTGTGACCATATTGCAATTCGATTCAGGTCCTCATTGATGTTACTAATGGTAGTATGAAATTCAAGCGAATTGCAGGAAAGATACACTTGTAGATCGTCAGCATAAAGGTGGTATTTGCAAAAATGCATGCAATTAGTTATATCAGCAGTGTAAATTATAAATAACAACGGTCCTAAAATAGAACCCTGTGGGACACCTCTATTAAGTGGTCGTTGTTCAGAAACAAGGGAAGACCCATTCGGTTGATTTAATATTACTTGTTGTGAACGACCGCATAAGTAACTTTGAAACCATTTTATGGAAGATGTAACGAAACCATAAAAAGATAGCTTAGATAGCAGCAAATCTATGTTAAAAGAATCAAATGCCCTTGAAAAATCAAGCAGGGTAAGGATCGTACCTCTACCATTGTCTTGTGATGTAAGAATATTGTCAACCACGTCGAGTAAAGCAGTAGACGTGCTTCTACCTTTTCTAAATCCCGACTGTAAGTCAGGTAAAATATTGTTAGTATCACAAAACTTGATGACTTGATTATATATAACTTTTTCTAAAATTTTAGAAAGAAACGGCAGTATACTTATTGGTCTTAAGTCTTTCAGATCTTTAGGACCATTGTTTTTAGGTAAAGGACGTACGAGAGCTATTTTCCACGAAGAAGGAAAAGTAGATGATTCAATCGACTTATTTATAATTGCTGTAATCACTTTTAACGTAGCCGGAAGTGTTAAGATGATCATATGTGTAATGTGTGCTCGGGTGTCATCCTATACTATAAAAAATCACACTAAGTTATTAAATGCCCGTTTTTATTAACTTGTATTCGTTGTTATAAACCAGGGAGAATGAGATATCTCGATTGACAAAAAGAAGTCAATTTATCTTAAAATGCAATCCAATTTGTTAAAATACGAATTCATTTCAAACTTCATCTATTTGATCAGGCTACGTAATAGTTACGATTATGCAAAGTTTGCGAAGGGAATTATGATTTACTTCCTTGACTTTAATTAAAGTTGTGCATTTATAAAAAGATCTTAGTTTTTTTTTAAATAGAATAAGAGTGACAAAAACGAGTACAAAGTTCACCAGATGGTAAGTGAATACTGTTAGGTAAAATGTATCCACGACTAAGAATAAAAATGCGTAAACCCCCCGTGACTTGGATGTAATAGCCCGTTTTCAGTAACAAGCGTCTTCGGTTCTCTACACTCACCATACGAAACGCAGCAGTATTGAGCTGCTATTTTACGCCGGTATTCTGTGAGAGCATGGTCCTTCCCCGGTCCAGCCGACCCATTCGTGCTACAAACAACCATAATATAGCTCCTGCATGTGGTATATGCTTTACTAATGAAATTTTATTACAGTTTAGTTAGTTACGTCCCACTCATGGGCACAGTCCTACTCTCAATACTGAAAGGTTTTAGGGCAAGGAAGTGTCCATCGCCCTGTCCCGATGTGTTGGCAGTTTCAAATGAATACGAAATATTTTTTTTATAATGGCTTGGTTATGCTGATTAATTGCCGATTTTTTCATTCCCCGCCAGTAAATCAGCACTTAAAATTGCACATAATAATTCGCGCTGAAATCAATATTACATATTGTCCGTTATATATTTTCAAAATGTCTTCCCCGCAATGTGCAACACCAATGTCGAGCTGTGTTCTGTTACGGGCCGTTGAAGAAGGAGAAAGATACATGCGAATTCAATAATTTCGTCTTAAACCTACGATATGACAATTGGCGGCTCCGTGGTGCAATGGCTTAGCAATGAGTCGCAGCGCTGAGAGCCGCGGGTTCGATTCCCGCGCGGTAGCTAAAAAAAATTGTTTCAGGTCTAGATGTTTTTCCTTGTGAAAATTTTGTATGAAAAATACCTCCACGATATTGGTGAAAATCCTAATGTTGGGGGTAACGTTTTAAAAAAAATTACACAATGTAATGACATAATCATTTGTCTAGTCTTTTAAATGTGTGTGTACATTTGTTAACGCTAATTATTAACCTGTTGTTTAACCGTTATGAAATTGTATATAAAAATCTAACTTATTACAAAACTCCATCAACTTTACAATCAAAAGTCTTTAAATCATAGTTTTATTTTCACCAGTTCCTGGTTTACTGCACATCCATCCAGTTGAATGCTTTGGTATTTTAAGTGCACAAAGAGGGTACCAATTGAATGATTGTCTCCCGAGATAATGTAACATTTTCTACCGTACATCGCCAATTTACGGTGATTACCCGCAGTTGGCAATTTGAAGGTCGTGAGTTCTTTATGTGTGGAAACTTCCGTATACAGATTTATGTAGACTAATACTCTTAGAGGCTTTTGAAACAAGTACAGATACTATAAAATAACGACTGATAGAAATATGCGGCTGTTACTCATAAAAATTAACGTCAACGTCTTAGTCAAATTAAGTACTTAAAGTTGCTCTCTTTTTACTGAATGACAATAGAAAGAGACATATTATAGTGATAATAAATAGTTAATTTCAACAAGCGATAATCAACAGTTATCATAAGGCCGCTAATATCTAATGCCCCATTTACATTCAGCCCTGTTGGGCAGGGAAGTGAGCAGGGCAGTGGGCAGGGCAGTATGTAAACAGGCTACTCGCGCTGACACTGCCGCTGCCGCTGCCACTGCCCGACGATCCCTCAAATGTCGGTTTTTCGTGCGGAAGTCAAAGGACGGGCAGCGCGAGCGGCAGCGAGTGTTCACATTCAGCTCCATCACTCACTTCGCGCCAAGCGCCTGGATGAACGGACGTGCATGCCGTGTTGTTATTAAATAAGTACGATCTGCCAAAATGCCTTTCAAGTGGAATAATGAAAATACAATAAAGTTTTTAGAACTGCTGGAATCAGAAAAAACTATATGGGATTTCAACGATAAAAACCACAATACATCATCTTCTACGAATACGAATTTTCTTTTTGAGATAACATAGTGCCTATGTACATAATTAATTATAAATTCGTCAAATTTATTATATTAATATAAATTTTAATTTAAGGAAATAATGAACATTGATATTTTATTTCTAAAAACGATTAGACTCATATTGATTATTTATTTATTAAAATGTAAAATTAGTTAAATGGTAATATTTGCATAATAGCCTAATAGAGATTTTTAAATTATAAATGTATTGTAATTAAAATTATGAATTAATTTATACTGTAGTATAATTATTAAAATAATAATAGCTTAACTAATCTCATATAATATTTAATATTATTTATGTAATAATTCAATTAATAATTTATGAACAATTTGCTGTATAAGAATTCAAATAGAGTGGATCTGTATAAGTATTTAATTGTACATATTTGAATTTCAAAAATAATGTTTGTACCTAACTTTTAAGCAATGCAATAATTTTAAAATGTAACATTGGGTTTGTGTAATTAGCTGTATTTCATATCATTTTTGCATGCCAATTATGGCAAAACATATCAGTTCCACGTCATTGATCATCTTATGTACCATGTTTTTATGCAAATAAATTTTCTATCTATCTTCTTTTGAACTTGATATCTTTTTAAATTATTAACATAATTTTGTATTGCAAGAATACACAGCGCGGACGCTGTAATTGTTTCGACGTCTGCCATAGTCGAAAGCCGAAACTGATGTGAGTGGTAGGGCAGAATGTAAATACACACTTCCCGCGATCCTGCTACGACAGTATTTAGCGAATTATTGCCGGCAGCGCGAGGAGCAGTGGCAGGGGCTGAATGTAAATGAGGCTTAAGTTACTCATGCCAATCACTTTCTTTTGCCATCGGCATTGTTTACAGTATTCTATATTTCAAATTCAAACTTCCAAGCATTGAGCTCGACTCTGAAATTAATTAGTAACTTCGTAATAATATTTACTTTCAATCCCAAACTTCGCGTTGAGTAGTATTTAGACTAGAAGGAACTAAAGAAGACACAAATTTATCTCTATCTATACATACAAATATAATTTAAGCGTCTCTGTAATATCGTAATAACTGACTTACCTATATTTTTAGTACAAAGTCCTCCTGATGGTAAGTGGATGCTGTGACCCATAGATATTCTACATTTATCCTCGATTAAGAATCAAAACGAAGTTGCGTTGTCACCACTGAGGACTAAGATGGAATGCCTCGTTTCCAGTAAAGAAAGGTCTCCGGATCTCTACACTCACCATACGAAACACAGCAGTATTAAGCTGCTATTTCACGTTGGTATTCTGTGAGAGCGTTGTCCTTCCCAGGTCGAGTCGACCCATTCGTGCCACAACCATAATATAGCTACAGTGTGGCTGTACCACGTATAAAATTATAATAATATTAATAATAATATAATAATTAATATAATACCACGTATAAAATTAAAATAATATTACATAATAGTAATATTATGTTCAGAGGGTTATTTGCACGCTACTAAATAACACATGAATAACCCCTTTTTTTAATTTTGTCTGTCTGTTCGGGCTAATCTTTGGAATGGGTGAACCGACTGTAATGGAACTCCTCGAACAGATAGAGAGCATTGCTAGGAGCGATTTAGGCTTCATGCCAAAATATTGGACATTTAAAAAAAACGAAATATTTATCTTAAATCTATAAAAACGCCACATTAATAGATCTTACACATAAGAAGCTCGGCCCGGTCGCTAGTTACTAACACCAGCTCGAGGCTACCCGATGATTTTTCTTATTGTGTTTTATTTCCAGGTGGAGCAGCGAGATGTCCCTGGAATCGACTGCGCGCACCTCGCAATGGACACCGAGGAAGGCGTGGAGGTAGTGTGGAACGAGGTGCAATTCTCCGAACGCAAAAACTTCAAGGCACAAGAAGACAAGATACAAATGGTTTTCGACAATCTCACGAGGCTCGAACATCCGAATATAGTCAAATTTCACCGATACTGGACCGACACGCACAACGATAAGCCAAGGGTGAATATCCATTTGGACAATTTTCTCCATTTGGTTTATCTTTAAACCGTATGAAAAAATTAGCAACAATATATTTTTTATAGAATAAGGGTGACAAACGAGCACACAGTCCACCTGATGGTAAGTGGACGCTGTGGGCCATAGACATCTACATTTATCCTCGATTAAGAATCAAAACGCAGATGCGTTGATGGAACGCCATGTTTCCAGTAAAAAAGGGTCTCCGGATCTCTACACTCACCATACGAAACACAGCAGTATTAACCTGCTATTTCACGCTGGTATTCTGTGAGAGCGTAGTCCTACCCCGGTCGAGCCGACCCATTCGTGCTACAAACATAAATATCGCTGCAGCGTGGCTCTACCACGTATTTTAAATTTTCTTCATAAAGATCTAAACTATAACTTCATCATAATTACAGCTTATCAATGTAAACTGCCGAACATACATAACATTATTTATGGATGATAACAACCCCCGGGGGAATGAGGTAATCGCTATCAACCAATTTCTAATTTGTTTTATGCTGTTAATTATTGTGAAACTTCTGGGTTTCTTGCTGGTTCTGTCCAGGACAGAGGTATTTTCTAAGGCAATGCTTATTACTCTTTACACCTCTTATTTAACACTTTAAAGTTAAAAAATAAGACAAAACAGATTTAATGCCTGTTAGATCTTACATAGTATTATACAATAAATATGATTAAAATAATTGAATCAAGAAATTAGTAAAAGAACTGAATCGACAGTTCTATGTTCTTGTCTAAACATATACAGATAAATACCATAACATATATATAGGATATATTGTTACGACAGCACGTGGTTCAGTTAAGCCAGTGGTAAAATAACATAAGATTGACTTAACAAGTATTATTTATAATCTACTAGCTTGCCAGGCAGAGGTTGTTCTGCCGTTTTCTACGACCCTTTGTCATGTCCATTAAAAAATCCTTAAATTCGCAATAAAAAAAATTGTGGGTCACTCATGGGAAAAAAACTATCCTATTTCTCAAGTCGGTTAAGTAGTTTAGGAGTCCATCGCGGACAAACAACGTGACACGTAATTTATATATATATATTAAGATATTAAATAAAAAGTTTCTATCCTGTTATCCTGTGTGTGTCCTCCGTAGATAGCGTCACAAAGCCTTATGCGTTGTTAACCACAATTTTTTAATTATTTTGAGTTACTGTCAGGAAGACTACTGCCCATCTCCTGTTCCAGTTTCCCTTCGTCGTCTCTGAGGACATCCACAGGGTGATATGGGGATACAAGGATACAATAATAACGATAAAACTTGCACCTCTTATACATGTCAATATATTTTCAATGTTATCTACTATTCTATCTAATTGCTTTATTTGAATCTTATTTACTTTTTCTTGTCTTGTCGAGACCTTCAGCATTGTCCTTATCTGATACAATTTAGCTTTGTCTATTAATAAGCACAAAATGGGTGTAATGTTTTATTAGACGTAAATAGCCTAATCATAGGATCATCAGGTATCAAAATATAAATATAATATATACACTTTATTTTATTCAAATTATTTTATCTCATTTTTTAAGTTAAAGCATATCGGACGAATACAGATTGATAAATCATACGACTAAAGTATGAATAGACAATTCCATCTTCTTTATTTTTATTTATTTATGTACATACAACAAGATACAAAAACAGTCGTATTATAAGTTGGTACAAAGGATCAACTTATTCCATAATTTGCTGAAATACCTTCCAGTGGACCCACAAAGGAAAAAAATATTAAACAGGAAAACTTACTACTACTAAAGAATAAATAATATCCAAAATTTTACGCATATTATATTAAATAATAGTATAAATAAAATTAAAATAATACAATAAATAAAAATAATACGTACGATATAATATAAACTAATACTATTATAATAAAATAATATATATTATTTAACAGGATGCAAAGAAATTACTATCTCTAACTCGTAAATGCCAATAAGTCGTTAAATGCCAATAAGTTTCGAAATTTTCTCTTTCTTACTCTGCCCAATAAGTAACCAGGCTTTATTCATAATGCTCGGTCAATTTAATTATTTCAATAGTTTTTATCACATTGCCTACATGTTGGGCATTATGAATAATACCAAATTAATCACTTGGTCCATAACAGGATGTTTGGAAGATATGTGCATAGCCTGAAAGGGATGATATCTTAAACCATTTAGAACATATTGAGCTAAATTTGTCTTAGACTCGTTTTTTTAAATAGAATTTTTAAGGTTTTAAACAATAAAACCTTTTTTTTTCAATTAATTGCTAATAGTGTTCAGTAACAGTTTTTATGTTATTATTTCTTATTTATTTAATGTGTGATTACTCAAACGCAAATAAATTCCAAGCACCTTCATCATCAGAAAAACATTCTATGCATATTTAAATTTAAGAAATTAAAAAAATTAAGGAAATGATGTGATTATGCCATCATAAATAAAATAACCTTTGTTGTCCAAACCTTTTTTAAAACATGCTTAGTTATCGCCCCTTCTTTTGAGGTATTATTTCCGCAATTGTCTCAACTCTTGGAATTAGGATGTACAAAGAAAATTGTGGACGAATATTCTTATTTTTATACGGACCAAAATTATGCACCATTTTTGTTAATGCACTATTGTTTTTTTCGTTCGTTAGAACTGATTACTTTTTATTTTTACGGTGCACGTGCGTGGATTAACTTCCGAAAATAAAAAGACAAGTTTAGCTTAATATGTCCTAAATGATTTAAGGTATCATTCCCTCCAGGCTTTGCACCCATCTTCCAAACATCCTGTATATTAATGTTAAATATGTTAAATATGATTAATAATTATGTTAGGTAAATATCGAAAAATAAACAAAAATTCACAATAATTAAGATTATTAGTTTTGAGCCATTATTATGAAACGATTATTATTATTATTATTATTATCTTAAGATAACACTATTAGACAATTTCTGCACTGAATAAACAAATTACTGAATGAATTTCTTTATTTTTAAACGCACTCAAATCGAACTTTTATAATTGCTTATGATAATATGTTAAAATCTATATTTTCTTTATTCTCCAGGTAATTTTTATAACGGAGTATATGTCCTGCGGATCACTGAAGCAGTTCCTGAAACGCACGAAACGCAATGTGAAGCGGTTACCACTGCAGGCGTGGAAGAGATGGTGTACACAAATTTTGTCGGCGCTCAGGTAACGTAAAAATATCCAAAATTATGGATTATTTTAACATTATATGTTATTTAAATGTTTTTACAACACTTCAAGTAAAACTAATTTTATTTTTATTTTTATTTTTTATTCTCGATGTCGACGTCAAGCCTTGAAAAAAAAGTTAAGATTAAATTTGGAAAAATCCGTAAAATTAGTTTTTTTATTATGTAATTTAAAACTGGAAACATTTTTGTTAAACGACCTTGCTGTTTACGATGGACAATTTCATTAAACTGTCATTTCTTATTGTTTTTTGATTTTTTACAATTTTCATAATCTTGCAATCTCATTGGACATGGTTGTTTAATGTTTTTACAATATTGAAAATAAGTAAACGTCTGTGTCGACAGCTATCTCCACGGTTGCGTGCCGCCCATTGTACATGGGAACCTAACCTGCGATACAATTTTCATCCAGCACAACGGCCTAGTAAAGATCGGCTCTGTGGCGCCGGACGCCATCCATCACCACGTGAAGACCTGCCGCGAGAACATGAGAAACATGCACCTTATTGCACCCGAATACGGATGTAAGTGAAAACTGAATCACTAACGTACTAGGAAACGAACACATAGTTTCCCTTGCTTAGATCCTTGTCCTGCGAATCGCGTTTTCCACATTTGCATCTTAACCTTTGATTTGATCGTCTTCGTCTCACTTTTTCTTTTTTTATCTTTATCTCTTTTAAATATTCTATGATTATCAATTTAATTTGTTTTTATTTTTGTGGAAAAGCGACCGAAACGTGTCAAGGATTACCAGCAGGTGAAACTACGTAGTGACTCGTATTTATTGCAACTTTATTTCCCCCGTATCAGCATCGCAAATGGTGACGCCCGCAATGGATATCTACTCTTTCGGAATGTGCGCCCTGGAGACTGCCGCACTTGAGATACAGGGCAACGGTGACTCGGGCAGCCACGTAACAGAGGAACACATCATAAGGACGGTCGAATCTTTAGAAGAACCAAGGCAGAAGGACTTCATATACAGGTACATTTCAGGTTTCCCGCTACGGATATACAACGGGCGAAGAAGGCTTGCTTAATTTACATAGTACGCCTTCTTCACCCGTCGACTACAGTTTTGCGATACTCTGTGGGTAAGTCACCTTTGAAATGATACGGTGTGCTTCCAAAAAAACTATGAACAATGAAGCTCATATTTTTCAATCCGTGTTTTCAGGTGTATAAATAAGGATCCGGCGAAGAGGCCCACAGCGAGGGAACTTCTCTTCCATCCATTACTCTTCGAAGTTCACTCACTGAAGTTGTTAGCTGCACACACACTCGTGAACACAACCGGTAAGGGAATTTAATTTTTGATATATTAAGTGATATTATAATTTGGTCTACCGCAAAACGTAAATAACTAGTGAAGCTTCCGGTCATATACAGTTTTATCTAATTATAAATGAAGATAACGAAAATATTGAGTTTTTGAAAATAGTAATAGATGTTGCTCTTAAAAATTCTGTTGAATATTTACATTGAATCGATTTCTGCCAAAGATATATTTGGACGTGGACGTGGACGGTTTTTCAATTGTATATTCAAATTTATCTATCAACCAAATTATAAACTCATTGAATATAAAAGTGAAACAATCAACCCATCTTATTCACACAACTATCGTTTTTAATTTGTTTATGTTGTGTTTTATCCTGATAACTTTTATCTATGTTTGAAAAATTGTTCCCTGATAGCATGGTAGTTTTAAATTTGGTAAATGCCACTCATGCGAACCCACTATGTATGCATATATGTTGCAATAATGATTTTAATGTACCGTATATTCTTACAGCCTTACTTATAACCATTGATTATCGCTTACTTAAATTAGGAATGAAATGTATTATTCTACATAAATTAGTTACCTAGTTTACCTGTCTCTTTCGTATTGGTACCGTAGTGTCTATCTAGTGGTATACATAGAAGTATTTAGCTGAAGTGACCTGGTATCAAGATAAAGAGACGAGGTTTTAAAGGTGGTAGAGTCATGCTGCAGTTAAATTATGGTTGTAGCACGAATAGATCGGCTCGATTTGGGAAGGATCACACGCTCACAGAATACCAGCGTAAATAAGCCACATAATGCTGCTGTGTTACCTATGGTGAGTATAGAAAACTGGAGAAAATTTCTACTGGATACGAGGCATTTCATCTTAGTCCTCATGGGTGATAACGCATCTGCATTTCGATTAAGAATCCAAAAAAAGAAATCTAAGATAAATATAGATGTCTATGGGCCACAGTATCCACTTACCATCAGGTAGACTGTGTGCTAGTTTGTCATCCTTATTGTATAAAAACAATTACGATACATAGAAGTGTTTGGCTAACGTGGGTCGGTGGTGGTGCAGCGAACATCTCGGAGACGATCACGGACGAGGTGTGCAGCGGCGGCGCGGCGGGCGCGGGCGGCGCGGCGCTGGCCTGGTGCGTGCGTGGCGGCGAGCGCACCGAGTTCAGCGCCAAGGACCTGCAGCCGCATGCCGAGAAGCTGGAGAAGTTCGTCGAGGACGTCAAGTGAGTCCCACATCCACGAACACACTCGCACAATACTCTAATAATGTTCTCCAGACCAAATTTCGGTCACGGCGGCCAGTCCCAACGGAAACTAGTCATATAAGAAGAACGGGAATATAGTACACGAGTGTGAGCGCAAGTATAGGTGCATTCTCTATTCCCTCACTCTCATAGTCCGTAATCCGACATGAACGGAAAGCGGTCAGGCGTAGGATTACGGCTTTACGTACTCTCCGAAATGAAACACCGCCAACTTCCTGACTCGGGGCTGCTACTGAGAATTTCTGCACAGAAATACCTAATATCTAATTTTGATACGACGCGGGATTCGAAACCGGAATCTCATGATCATCAACCGCGTTCATAACCACTAGAGCAATGAGACAGTCTCTAATTAACCACACCTAACATACCACAATATTCTTTCTATATTATAAGATAAGTTAAGCAATTTTACACATACATTAATCTACTTCAAAATTTTTATGTATCTGTTACCCCAAAGTTAAATAAATATTCCTTCAACATTTATATTCACAAAAGTTATAAACAACATTGAAGACAACAAAACTGATGCGGCAAACGATTGCAGTCCGCCTGGTGGTAAGTCGTGTAGCTAACTACAAACAAAGAAGGCTATGGAAGCGTTGTCACCTCTGTGCACTTAGATAGAATACCTCACAGCCTGTGATTATACTGGCTCTCTATGTATGCCTTTCAGACAGGAATAGCAATGCAAGAGCTGCTATTATTAGCGGCTAAAATAGGTAAGAAAGTACCACTTTCTTACTATTAAGTAATTACACCGAGCGGGAGTATCTTTTGCTCAAATATTAAATATACTAGGGTTTCAAAAGTTCTCGGTCGGACTAAGAAAACAAAATAAACAAAATGTTTTATTTTTCTACATACACTCCCCTTATCTATACGTTTGTTCAATCTATACTCCTACGTCTCTAACTCTTCAAAAAACTTCCCTGCGTCAGCTTTCACCTCTTAGCATGTGGAAAACTTTCTTCCAGACTGGAGTTTTTGTTTTCAATTTAAGGAACAGGTAATAGTCCGATGGTGCTAAGTCAGTCTAATATGGGGGATGGTTTAATACTTCGAAACGGAGTTCATGGAGCTTAGCCATTGCAACAATCTTCGATTAAAATATAAAACCCCGCTCAGTAAAGAACTCTATAGTGTCACTTATTTCACACACTTTCAATCTTCTGTCTTCTAAAACATTTTGTGGTTTTTGGCGATGATTTCACACGTGATGGCCGTCGACGGCCTACAGCTGCTTTGGTCATCTTCGACGCTTTCTTTGGCTTGTTTGAATAAAGTTGCCCATTTTTAATATGAAATACGAATGTGCTATTCATGTCATCTTTCATTCATGGCATAATTTTTTGACAAAATGTAACACGGCTCTTATTTTCCTTTTTTCCATTTTTTGGAAGAAAAGCAGATTTGCTCGAACAAAATCACGCAACCTATCATCACAATGACTGAATGAATGACAATGACAATAATGTATCAAGCTTTTAAATGAGTAATTACATTGTTCCTTTTGTTTATCAAAACATTCGGGTTAGGAAACGCACCAGAAACATTTCAATAAAAATATTTTTATTTTTTGTTTTTCAGTGGTATTGAAATTATATAATACGCTGCAAATATTTTAACTTGTCATCATTTTTTTGTAAAATAAACGATTCCTGTTCTATTTGCATGATTCCGTATTTAATAACAGTACAGACAGGAACATTAGAAATAAATAAATAAAGTAAATTTTCGTCACCGTCTAATTTTGTAATAATACCAGAAAGTTCCTTGGGAATTGTGTTGTTTATGACATTTTCATCAAAGTATAATTATAATTAATTTGGTTAATAACTCATATTTAATAAAAAGGAGGAGCTTAACAATGCTTGTATTTTGGGACTCACTGATAGGAGTAGCGTTTATCATAGAAACTTATTAATAGTTGTAGATTGACAAAACTAACAAAAAATTAAGTAAGTCGAAAAAGTAGGAGAAATAAGGATATACTTAAAATTAGAAAATAACCTAGAAGTAGAAGATAATCGAAAATTATTATTTGAAAAATAGCTATTATATGTAGAAATTATTGCTCAATTATAAAAAATTAAATCAATGATGTCATTTTGTTATCATCACCGCATTGCGCAAAACGCACCATAAACATTTCCATCAAAACATCTTTTTTCTTTGAAATAACATTCTATATTATTCGCTGCAAACATCTTTTTTGTGTACTCTGCACTATCATTTTCCTACCACAGTAAAATTTTTGGCAGCTGAATTTAAACGTGGCAGTGAGAGCTTGGGAGACGATGAACATTCGGGACGTCCGACTGCTACTACTGACGATAACATCGCTAAAGTTCACCAAATGGTGCTAGACGACCACCGAATTTAAGTGAGAGAGATAGCAGAGGCTTTGAAAATGTCCAAACAACGTGTCTGTCTGTGTGTGTCTGTGAACGTGTGACAGCTTTGTCATGTCTAAATCTTGATTTAGAAAGCTGTCAGCGCGTTGGGTGCCGCGTTTTCTCACGTTAGACCAAAAACGTCTTCAATGAATATTTCCAACGCGCTGTTGGCGCGGTTTAGGAGCAAATAATCCGAGTTTTGGCGTCGATTAATTTCTGTAGATGAAACTTTCATACACTATCATACGCCCGAAACAAAAATACAGTCATAATACTAGACTATAAAGGGGGAACCGGCTCCAAAAAAAAAGCAAAAACTGTTTTTTCGACTAGAAAAGTGATGGAGGAGTTATCTTAATCGATTATCTTCAAAAAGGAAAAATAGTTACAGGAGCATACTACATATCATTACTTGACAAACTGAAGGCAGAATTGGCAGAAAAACGTCCACATTTGCAGAAAAAGAAAATCCTGTTTCACCATGACAACGTGCCGTCTCACACTTCAGCGGTTGGCGTGGCGAAAATCCACGAATTACGGTTTGAACTTCTTGACCAATCTGTCTTACTCACCAGATCTAGCCCTAAGTAATTTCTTTTGTTCCCTTGTATGAATATTGCGCTCGTAGCACAAAGATTTTCGTCAAATGAGGAGGCAATCACCTTCGTTAACAATTATTTTGCAGAGAAAAATACCGAGTAATATTTGAATAGGTTAAAGAGACGGGAGCAAAGCTGGGAGAATTGTGTACAGTTACAAGGAGACTATATAGAAAAATAAAATAAAATGTTAGGAAAAAATCTCTTGTATCTTTGTTAGGACGGAAACATGGGTGGTCTGAAAAGCTTCCGACCTAACTGAGGAATCAGACCGTAACTTTCGAAATACTAATGAAATTATTGTATGGAAATAGAAATAGAAAAAATGTCACAGTTTCATGGCGTCAAATTAACATTTATTTTTCTTAATTTCAAATTATAAAAATATAACTCATCTTATAAATATTACACTAACTAACACGTAGTAAATTGAAAGCGGACTTGTGTTGACTACGCAGTGGCGCGAGACCAATTTTGTAAGTGAATTTTGTGATTCTAACGACTCTAAAACAAGCGTGTATCTTCATCGTAAAACAGAGCCAACTTACCTTGACTCATTCTTTCCAAATTGGCAATATAACTAGTCTCCAATATCAGTGTCTGAAGGCTCAGACTGGTGTCGGGTGACAGCGGCAAAAGCGGAAATTTGTCCAAGTGTAGTGATTAAGGCACATCCTACTACAAAAGAGATTCATGGTCCTCAGGGGATTTTTAAATGCTGATTCTAAAGAACAATGTGTATGACACAACCGTTATGGCATGGTCCCAATACGTTGTCGCAGGTATGGCATCTACCCGCTGACTGCGTACGCGTGGGGCGGTCGTCGAGCCGCGTCGCCGTGTGAGCGCGCCGCCGAGAGCGCGCCCGCATCGCCCGAGCCGCGCGACCTGGAGACGCGCCGCGTCGTCAACATGATGTGCAGCCTCAAGCCGCGCGCGCCGCACGACGCGCACGACCTGCTGGTCAGTACACGCACACACTCACACGCACACCACTTGCTGTCAGTACACGCACACTCGCACACCAACTCGTCAGTACACGCACACCATCTGCTGTCAGTACACGCAAACAAGCACACCATCTCGTCAATACACGTACACCCACACCACCTGCTGTCAGTACACGCACACTCGCACACTCCCTCGTCAGTACACGCACATGCAGACCACCTGCTGTTAGTACACGCAAACTCGTAAACCACCTCGTCAATACACGCACACGCACACCACCTGATGTCAGTACATGCACACTCGCACACCAACTCGTCAGTACACGCACACGCACAGTATCTGCTGTCGGTATGTGCACACCACCTGCTGTCAGTATACGCACACACGCGTACGCACATCATCTGCTGTCAGTACACGCACACCACCTGCTGTCAGTACACGCACGCTCGAACACCCCCTCGTCAGTACACGCACACGCAGACCACCTGCTGTTAGTACACACAAACTCGTAAACCACCTCGTCAATACACGCACACGTACACCACCTGCTGTCAGTACACGCACACTCGCACACCAACTCGTCAGTACACGCACACTATCTGCTGTCGGTATGTGCACACCACCTGCTCTCAGTATACGCACACACGCGTATGCACATCATCTGCTGTCAGTACACGCACACCACCTGCTGTCAGTACACGCAAACTCGCACACCATCTCGTCAATATACGTACACACACACCACCTGCTGTCAGTACACGCACACTCGCACCCCCCCCCTCGTCAGTACACGCACATGCAGACCACCTGCTGTTAGTACACGCAAACTCGTAAACCACCTCGTCAATACACGCACACGTACACCACCTGCTGTCAGTACACGCACACTCGCACACCAACTCGTCAGTACACGCACACTATCTGCTGTCAGTATGTGCACACCACCTGCTGTCAGTATACGCACACACGCGTACGCACATCATCTGCTGTCAGTACACGCACGCCACCTGCTTTCAGTATACGCACACCACTTGCTTTCAATACACGCACACCACCTGCTGTGAGTATACGCAAACGCAAAAAGTGGTGTGCCCACTTGCTTGTCAGTACACACACACGCACACTACTTACTCGTCAGTATACGCATACATGCACACTATATAACTCCAAAAGAAAATAACATTCATCTACCTTCATGCTATTGCTCTGTTTAATCATAAACATTTGACATCATTTCTTATGAATACTTTACTGTCGCATCACCAATTCAATAAAGAGTTTTAACTTGTCTGCAGATGACTATCCTTCTGCGCATGGACGACAAGATGAACCGGCAGCTGACGTGCGCCGTGTCGCGTCGCGACTCCGCGCCTGCGCTGGCGCACGAGCTCGTGCAGCTTGGCTTCATACACGAGGTATGCAGACACACATATAAAGAGTAATTTTATTTATTGTAGACAAGGACTTCTATCTTACTAGACAGGCACTACGGTATTAATACGGAATTGTTTTGTTTTGGAAAGGGGGAGGGAGATGAAAAACGTACCAATACCTTGGTACGTTTTTCATCTCCCTCCCCCTACTAGAAATACCGCAGTGATTTGTTTATTTGTAGGCGGATCGGGATAAGGTGTGTCGGCTGATCGAGGAGTCATTGCGAGGCAGCTTCGGGCACTGCACGGTGGCCGCGCACGCGCCGCGCGCGCAGCACGTGGCCAGCTAGTGCGCCGCGCCGCGCCCTGCCCCGCCCCGCTCCGCGCACTCCCTAGCTCCGCCCCGCCCCGCCCTCACCACGCTTTCACCACCCACACGCTACGTTCCCCGCCGTAGTTATCGATCAGACAAGTCGTTGAAACTGTTCTGACTTAAATATTCATCCATTAAATTTGTTTGATATCAAATAAAATGCTTGTAGATTTCTTTTGTTGTTGTAATGAAACATTTTGTAATCAAAGGAAATTTAAGAGAAACAGTTATCAACCTTGGTCGATAAAGATTAGTTGAGTGACGAACGAAAGTTGAAATCAGTTTTTAAGGGATCTCTACAAAATATTTTCTTAAATTATATAAATAAACAAAATTCTTTACGTTTTCTTTTAAATACAAGACATATTTAAAAAGTGACAGTAAACTATTTAAATTCAGTCATTCATAAATACTTTCTAAATCATATCTTATTTGCAAAAATGAAATTTAAAATGATAGAAATTCAAATAAATCTCTTAATAAACTTATTTAGTGATATACCTTTAAAATTGATTGTAACTTTTGTTCCGCGAATCAACTTCGTAATTATATCTACGACAGATACATTTCATTAATGTAATAAAAGAAAACCCACCTTCCAGCTATAATTTCAGCTACTCAAGTATTACAAAGTTTGTGAGAAAATGATGATTGTGTACACGAAATATGATTTTAAGCCTATGGAAAATATAGTCACCGGTTGCTATTTTCTTCAAACCGCCGTAATTTTTTTTTAATTCTAGAATATGTTATTTTATCAATGCCTTTATCTAAACGGTGTCTTTTCATTTATATGGAGCAAATCATCATTGGCTTTGACGGATATTCTACAAACAAATAAGAAATAACTGAAATAATAAGTTTCGTTATTAAGTGTAACTATTATAAAGTAATATAATTAATAGAAGTAAATCATCTAGACTAATGTAATGTAATGTGGCTTATATGTAAAAAATTGGTCCTGTAATGTTACCCTGAGAAACACCATAGGTTTCATCATAAAAATTGATTCTAGTTGCTTCTTTTAACACTTTTTTACATTCGTTTGGGTAGAAAATTTTAAATGTATTGAATGGATTGAAATTTTAATAATTTTTTTACATTTATAATATTATTTTTCACATGTAATATTATCTTCATTTTGTGTTAAATCTGAAAAGATAAATACTTCTTAAATGTCAAGTAATATATTCAAATTAACCTTAATACATTTTTCTAGTTTCCTTTGCGACCAGCAAAGGTGTTATTTTATTTAAATATTTTATTATTTTCAAAAATGTGTTTAAAAATCTATTTATTTATTTACTTAGTCATGATACTTTTAAAATTATCAACCCAAAACTTTGTAAAGTTGGTGCATTAAAACAAGTTGAAGGATAACACTTTCCTAGTTTAAAATTAATAAGGCCTGACATATTTACATTGATCACAAAAATATTTAAAAACGATTCTGAATATGAAACTTTTTTGAATAATTTTGGTGACTTAGTTGCAACTGGTGAGTAATTAAAAGGCGAATAATATGTGATAATTAAATATTGAAATAGGCGGTTCCCAAAACTATTCCTTAAATCAAATTCTATATTAGCTTAATTTTTAATAGAAAAAGAATGATACGGTCGCTGTCTATTTGAATTTAGAAAAATGTGTCTAAACTTGAAAATTGGTCTAATCGATTATTGCACATAAAAAGCTTCTTTCGAAGCACCTAGTACATAATGATATCTCGACAAGGTCTTGTAGTCAAAACGCGGTTGAGCTTGTTCGATTATGTCGCATTCTTTCTTGTTAACTTTAGACAAAATCGTACCCGTGGTGTAATTTAGTTTTTATATAATTAAATATATAGAGATTTAGCGTTGTCGAATTTGTATTTTTGCATATGATTGGAGCGATCGTGATTGAATATGCGCCTTCGTTGGTGTGGAGCGCGGCTGGTTAGGTATTAACGTTGTTCTATATTTATTAAAAGTAGTCGAATTGGCTGGAGTATTGCTATCGAACACTGATAAATTTTTGTGGATAGCTTCAAGGCTATACGGGCATAAGTCTATAAACGTTGCAGCGTAGTACTGTCGCAACACCGAATTGCATCTGAAGATACGGTTTCGTTCGTGTCGTATATCACTGTCGCTAAGTATCCAGGCTTAACAGTTAATTGCGGTGATATATATATATATATATATATATATATAAAATATATATATATATATATATATATATATATATATATATATATATATATATATATATATATTCCAATGCGAATATATGAAGTTACTTTTTAAACGAAACAAACCAACGTGAGTACGAATGATAAACGAAAAATAATTTCGAAAAATTCGAATCGATATGAGTGTAATCAATACGTTAGACTTAATTTGATCAAATATTTATATTGCTTTGACCTCTTAACTTTCATTATGGTAAAATAGCCATTAGTAAATCAATATTTCAGTTTCTTACTGATAAATAGGTTTTCTCGTAGACGAATATAAGTTCTCTTTGACTTTTCATTTCATTAGAAAAACAACTAATATATTTTCGTATTCTATCAGATAAGTTTAGCTTAACCATTTATCCTTTTTCGTTTTTTCAACTTAGATCGATTCGATATATATCTTGATTACAACTCATATTGTGTTCAACTGCATTAGTTATTCCTCACTTTTATAACTTGAGGAAACGTCACGAGACGAATTGTTTCTGCCTGCAACAAACACTAACTAGTCGATCTTGAATCTGAAAACCGCAGAAAATGACTGCTCCCGTGTATTATATTAATTATTGCGCTCTCGTAAAGAAAATTTTAAAAATATCGACAGTTTATAATTAAATATTTAATAACGTAGAATAAAACCTAAAGAATGAGTCGTCATAGCGGTTAGTTTGGACATCGAGAATGCTTTAGTTATTTAGAATTTGTATGAATGTGTAAATGTAACAGAAGGATATTTAAAAAAATATATTTAATTAAACCATTACATTAATTATTATATGTATAGTGAGGCTTCCTCTTGTAAAGCTTTATGGATATGGTTATGTAAGTATACGGAAAATTGAACATACTCATTGTAATTATAAGGTTGAAATTTGTACTGTGTTCGCATTGAAATTGTTGCATTATTATTTATAACGAAACAAAAGGTTTGTTTAGTTTTCTGTCAGCTTTATAGGTGTTTTGTTTTGTATATCATTACTGTTTAATAATACCGCAATTTTTGATTAATATTTTGTTTTGTTTAGTTTAGTTTTTGTTTAGGGGAACAAAAGCTCTGCTATACAAGTTTGCCTGCTTAACTATTAAAATGTAATTAATACTTTACAGGTTAAACATGAAATGATTGTTCTTTATTTAAATTACTTGCATTTTTTTTAAATTGTCAAAAAATTATTAATGATTGATGTTCGAAGAGTAATATATATTTTAACATACCTACATCCTAGACATCTCGATGTTTTCTTTTTTTTTTTTTTGGATATAGCTTCGTCATCGCAGACTTCTTTGTTCACATTTACCATTCGTGCCGAAAGAGTCAATTGTAATTAAGTATTTCTTAAAAGTGATGTACAGAACAAAAACAATATTGTGCATTTAAGAAGAAAAAAATAGAAAAAAAAAATTCGCACCGAAATTAAGTTCTTTTTATACGTAACGCTATAGTGGTGCTAGTATGTATGTACACCATTGTATAAATTTGCTATTTGTATAGAAATGTATACCATTCACTCGACCGGCTCCGAAGCATCTTGTTCCTAATTTCTTAAGCAATCTGGTGCTGAACCGAGTTGAAACAGATACAGTTGCCTTATTAATTTATTATATACTGTTTGGTTGATGCTGTTGGTGCCAAAATACTAGATGCCAAGACGTAAGATTGTTTTTTTTTTCTATTGAAAATAAACAACATCTTCCAGCCTACCGTCCTCGTATTTTTTATTTCGTTATAATGTCATTATTACTCAAGATTACGTAAAGGATTGCTTATTCTCGTCCATTTCTCTTTAAATTAGCGTTAATTTGTTTATATCACCTTTAGTCATTGTATTAACCGCGTAGTGCATGGCTTCGTATGTATATAATTTAATATTATGTTAAGTCGGGCGGGTTGGAAAGATACGTTTTTTATTTTTTTCCGAAGATGAAAACAAATCACTGCTTGAAATAGAATTGATTTCGTTGGCAAGTTTTGACATTGCAGCGTAATCGCATCGTACGCTACGAATTATCGTATCTTATTTTATTTTTTATTTTTAGTAATTCGATAAAAATAACTAAATTCATATGAGCTTTGTAATCCTTACAGTTTTTATATCATTTTAAACAATGTTAAACGTTAGTACGACTACGATGCAATTCGCGGCAATATCGCTCCGGGAAAATCACAGTGACAGATCACAGTTCCGCGCGAGATCGTACAGACGTCGAAGCGGCTCGTCGTTTTAGAGCTGTAGTTAGTGTAGTGTAAACGAAAGACTGGCTAATGTAAAGATTAAGGTACAAGATAGGCTTCGAGCGTGTACTACTGGACACTGGGGATCGGTTATCGAAGAGCGTTTTAAGATTATAGCACAGATAATAAAATTATTTTAGGTAAAACGGCAGAATAATTGCCGTTGTGTTTACAGCTCATTTAATTGTACAGGGAAATCCAGCAGTATACGCTCTGTGATTGTAAAGGAGCTTTCACGGCATATGTCTTTCAATTGAATTACGTGGAATTTCGTATTTTTAATCTATACCGTTATGTCACAATTCCTACAAATTAAAATATACTTTTCATTAGATTGGATTGGTGGAAAATAAAAACTTAGTTTAACTATAACATAAGTTTATACATAAATCACGCTCATTAGAAATCAAAATAAATATTTTAAAAAATGCGTAAGTCGTATGCAAGCCGTGAGAGCAACATCGGGAGGCAGGTTTTGTAGTCGTAAAGTGGCATGCCCATTGTAAATATTCGCTTTTAGTCT